AAATTAGGAATGGAAGGGCCTTGCTGTTCGACTTTACTGTACAGCTAACATTTGTGTCCCTGCCCATTTAATTAATTTATTATTATGGTGATTTGGGGTTTTTATGGTTTTTATCCACTAAGTTCAGGGGTGCCTTTTTTCATGTATACGTATGTTTAATTCTAGTATAATTAACATACAGTGCTATATTAGTTTCAGGTGTACAATACAATGATTCAACAATTCCATACATCCCATTCTTAGATAGAAAAACTGGGGCCCAAAGGGGTAAAGTGACTTGGCAAGGTTAGGGAAAGTGGTTACCCACCCTGGGGTTTTTGACTCCATGATCCTACCTCCAAGTTTAAGAAAACAATCTTTTCTTTAGTAAAAACTGTATATGTGTAAGGTGTAAAACATACTGATTTGACATACATATTTATATATATTGAAATGATTATTAAAATCAAGCTAATTAGCATCATCTCCTCACATAGTTACCATTTACTTTGTGGGGAGAACACCTGAAATCTCTCTTAGCAAATGTCCAGGATACAATCTAGTATTATTAATTATATTCATCATGCTATACATTAGATCTCTAGATGTATTCATCTTATGTAACTGCAACTTTATACACTTTGACCAGCATCTCCCCCATTTCCCCCACCCCCGGTGTAATCACCATTCTACTCTCTGCTTCTATTTTTTTAATATAATTTTTAAATTTTTCATTAACATATAATGAATTATTAGCCGCAGGGGTACAGGTCTGTGAATCGCCAGGTTTACACACTTCACAGCACTTACCATAGCACATACCTTCCCCAATGTCCATAACCCTACCACCCTCTCCCTACCCCCCTACCCCTGGCAACCCTCAGTTTGTTTTGTGAGATTAAGAGTCTCTTATGGTTTGTCTCCCTCCAGATCCCATCTTGTTTCATTTATTCTTTTCCTATGCCCCAAACCCCCCACATTGCCTCTCAACTTCCTTGTATCAGGGAGATCATATGATAATTGTCTTTATCTGATTGACTTATTTTGCTAAGCATAATACCCTCCAGTTCCAACCACGTTGTCGCAAATGACAAGATTTCATTTCTATTGATGGCTGCATAGTATTCCATTGTATATATATACCCCATCTTCTTTATCCATTCATCTGTTGATGGACATCTAGGTCCTTTCCATAGTTTGGCTATTGTGGACATTGCTGCTATAAACATTCGGATGTATGTGCCGCTTCGGATCACTACATTTGTATCTTTAGGGTAAGTACCCAGTAGTGTGATTGCTGGGTTGTAGGGTAGCTCTATTTTCAACTTTTTGAGGAACTTCCATGCTGTTTTTCAGAGTGGTTGTACCAGCTTGCATTCTCACCAACAGTGTAGGAGAGTTCCTCTTTCTCCGCATCCTCGCCAGCATCTGTCATTTCCTGACTTGTTAATTTTAGCCATTCTGACTGCTGTGAGGTGATATCTCATTGCGGTTTTGATTTGTATTTCCCTGATACCGAGTGATGTGGGGCACTTTTTCATGTGTCTGTTGGCCATCTGGATGTCTTCTTTGCAGAAATATCTGTTCATGTCCTCTGCCCATTTCTTGATTGGATTATTTGTTCTTTGGGTGTTGAGTTTGGTAAGTTCTTTATAGATTTTGGATACTAGCCCTTTATCTGATATGCTGTTTGCAAATATCTTCTCCCATTCTGTCAGTTGTCTTTTGGTTTTGTTAAAGATCAAAAGCTTTTGCACAGCAAAGGAAATAGTCTACTCTCTGCTTCTATATATTCAACGTGTCTTTAGATTTCACAAAAAAAATGTGACCATACAATTTTTTTTCTTTCTGTATCTGCCTTATTTCACTTAGCATAATGTCCTCCAGGTTCAGTCATGTTGTTGTAAGTGGTGAGATGTCTTTTTTAAGGTTGAATAATATTCCCTTGTATGTATGTACCGCTTTTTCTTTATCTACTCATTGACTGACTGACACTTAGGCTGTTTCTTTACCTTGGCTATTGTGAATAATGCTGCAATGAGCATTGGATGCAGTAAACATGGAAACACAGATCTCTCTTCCAGGTATGGATTTCATTTCCTTTCCATCTGTCAGTGTGTAACACCCACTCTATAAAAAGCACAAACTTCAAGACAGGAAAACTATTTCTGAGTTGGCTTTCCTGTTTAATATCTGGGTGGCATAGGCCAAATCTTTTGGGATATCAATAGCCTCATTTCTGTAATTCTCTCACCGCTCTATTAGGGTTATTAAAAGTATGAAATAAGAGTAAATGGAAAGATATTAAGATAAATGTATTGTGTAAAACTAGCGGTAAGCATGCTCATAATTGGTTTCTTTTTCTTTGATTCTGTTTTGTCTTTCTCTCTTTTGCTTTCTCCCCATCTCCTGTTGGGTAGATTAATAGACTCTATGCCAGGCTACTCTGAAGACTGTTGCAAGAAAGACTCTCAAGGTCATGATTCCACTGAAAAACCTCACCCTGCAGTTGCTTCCCCGTCAATCCCCTGGTAGAGGGCCCATTTCAAAAATCAATCCACATTCTTCTGTAGCAAAATAATTCCAACCTTCTTTTTTTCTTTTGGCATTCCAAAGATCTGTCAACTCCTGTAAGAGTCATGGTTGATATTCTTTTGTAGGTCATCCCAGTTTTCTTTCACCACAAAATACTGAGATTTTGTATAATTAGAGCCCAGAGGGGTGAATGGGCCTGCCCCTGTCCTTTCGCCAGTGAATTTTACTCCTGTGTACTAGCTGCAGCTGTCTGGTTGTGTGTACCTGTGGGCCTGAGCAGGCACTTAGGGTCAACTGGTATGAGTTAAACATGCTCTAGAAGCTAAGACTTCTTTTTTACTTTTGTTTAGGATTTATTTATTTGAGAGAGAACATGCAAGTGAGGGGAGTGGCAGAGGGAGAGAGAGAGAATCTCAAGCAGACTTTCTGCTGAGCGTGGGGCTAGATCTCACCACCCTGAGATCATAACCTGAGATGAAATCAAGAGTCAGACTCTTAACCGATGGAACCACCAAAGTGCCCCTAAGTCTTCTTTTTAAGGAACTACTTTTGTATTCTGTGAGGAGTCATTAATAATTAGTTAACACCCAAGGAACGAGTTACTCATAGCTAGGTCAAGTTACATAGCAAAGTATAGAATTGAGTTAGTTACGCAAATTGCTGGAGCCAGAGTAAATGTGATATCAGTTTCCTGGGTATTGTAGGCCAAAACATTCTAGGGGGACAACTCAGCCTTCATGTTCCATTGGTTTTGGTTTTTAAGTTAAACGGTCCCTCCCTTGTTACAGGTTTGATATGATTAACACCCTCCTTGGTAGTGGGAAGGATGGAAGATTCTAGAATCTGTCAGACATCAATTCAGATGTTGGTGTTACTGAAGCTCGCTAATTGTGAGACCTGGGGCAAGACAGTTAGTTTCTTAAGCTTTAGTTACCCCATCAGCAAAATGGGCATAATCGTGTCCATTTCAGAATGGTACTAGTAAAAGCCAATGTAATCACTTATGGAAAAGCATTCACCATTGTACCTTGTATATTAATTAGGGCTCAGTAAATGTGAGCTATTATTATTATTACTGCTGTTACCATTAGCCTTTATAATTTTCACCTATATCCTAACAATAATTTCATTCTGCTTTTTTCAAAAAATGAAAGATTTATATGATCTCAAGAGAAACCAGAGCATCATTCTGTTGTTTTAAATGGTTGTATTGAGTTATAACTAACCCATAAGATGGACTCATTTGCATTATACTTTTGACTGATGGGAAAGAAAGGATGGTCTAACTGTCTAAGCCTTCCCCTAATGAAACACACAACTCCCTTGACTTCTCTTTTTCTGCTATTCTACAGAGGGCACGTTCCAAGCCCCATTTATATCTATTGTTAGTTTGTACATCAACGATGCGTTTAATCTGGGGGCTTGTTCATTGCTGGGTGTGTGTGTGCACACGTGAGTGTGTAAAAAGACATCTTGAGACCATTGATTAGAATGAACTCATCAAATGCATTGGTGCATTAATATTTTGCTCCATGACAACCCTGCTTTAGACATCACAGAGAAGAGAAACTCTATAAGGCAGCAACCCAGTCCTTAAAAAGCAGGACATACACATGTGTACCTAGGTTAACAGGAAAAGATGGAATTTGGGGTCATCACTTACTACATCTGGGACTTCAGAAAAGTCAACCTCTGAGTCTTATTATCCTCAAGTGAAAAATGGAGTTAAGGATCTGATTTACTTGGTTGACAGGGTTGTTATGAGGCTCCCTTATAAAACCGTATGTGAAATCTCTTCGTAAATTGTTGGCTAGGTCACAAATGGGAGTTACAATAACATTCAAGTGCTGGATTGTGTATTTCAGAAATCACATGTCTGGAGAGGGCCAGGTCGTGGGCTGGAGCTGTTAGGGAATATTTCATAGAGGAAAAGGGACTTTTCCTGAGCCTTCAAAATCAGACAGGACTTCAGCAGGTGGAAAAGAGTGGGAGGAGAGGGTGAGCTTAGTGATGGAATTAAAAATAAGCAAAGACTATGTATGTCAACCATATTTCATTAAAAAAAAAGCAAGGACTCCAGAGGGAGAATAAGCATACAAGCACATGCCAAGCGATATGAAACATGAGAGGGGATAAAGTTACAAAGGCAGTTATCATAGATGGTTCCTCTTCTGAAAGGACTCCGTCCTTGCGGGCAAGTTAACATGTCATTCGCCTGGTCTCTTAGCTCTGTGAATGCAGGGTCCTTGTCCTTCTCTGATTTCGCTCTCATGTCCATCACAGTACCTGGAACACAATAGGTGCTCAATAAATGCTCAGCAAATGAAAGAATAGATGGATGGTCATGCCCATTGCCATTCAGCCACTGAATCAGGGATTATCTTTTAACTCCCTCTGTGTGGTACAGCCCCATCTGCTGTTGGGATTTATGAAATTCTTTGCAGTGAAGCCAATACTTGGTATGGTTTTTCTCCACCCTGTCCCAGAAGATTCCCTACCACCGGCGAACAATAAGGTGACCAGCAAGTCGTGTGAGTACAACGGGACCACTTACCAACACGGTGAGCTGTTCATGGCTGAAGGGCTCTTTCAGAACCGGCAACCCAATCAGTGTACCCAGTGCAGCTGTTCGGTAAGACCTGGTGTCTTAATGTCCCTGCTAGCCCTACCCCAACACCAGAGCTCCTCCTGTACTTACACCTGTACTTGGAGCCTACACTATAAGGTGTTTGGAAGGAAGACGAATTGCATTTTTTTTTAAGTTTAATTGATTTATTTGAGAGAGAGAGAAAGAGAGCAAGCAGGGGCAGGGGCAGAGGGAGAAGGAAGGAATCTCAAGCCGACTCCCTGGTGAGCATGGAGCCCAACTCAGGGCTCGATCTCACGAACTGTGTGATCATGACCTGAGCCAAAAGCAAGAGTTGGACGCTCAACCGACTCAGCCACCCAGGACACCCCAAGGTGAATTGCATTTAAATCCTACTTTAAATCCTAATCCTGTCAATCCAGACTCCCTGATTTTCATAAGCCCTGAACAATCCTGACCTATGTGAAAGAAATCAGACATAGTCATATCCTGGTCTTTATTAAAACATTAGGACTGTTTAAATGCACAAACATGAGCTGATGGTCTTGATCTGTCCCTCTTTTAACAATGGTGACCCCAGCAAAGCCTTCATCAGAAGAACTCAACTTTTTGAAGCCTTGGGATGCTAGGGGCAGAAAAGTCATTGGTGCCATCTAAGGCCACTCAGTCCAGTTCACAAAAAAATGGGGCTATCTCTTGGTTCCCATCTGATGTAGTCTCCCAATCAGTTTGCCCCTGATGCCCTGCAGTGAGAACTCTCTTAGCAAAACATGATAATTCCTCTGACCTAATCTGTCAGAAGAACTAGGAATAAAGTATATTGATTATATCTTCATGGAATTGTGCAGTCCAGAAAATGTAAGAGGTGGAACCAGAAAATGGAAGAAAATGGCTGTTTCAACTGAAGTGTGAGGGAATGAAGTTCAATGTAGGAACTTTTTTGCTTGTAAGGGCATTAAACACTGGATTGCATGCAGAGGGAAGTTCTAGAATCTCTTCCCTTGGTAACTTTTAGTAAAAATATGGTATCTTGGTAGTTTGGGAGAATTTGGTTGTGGCCTTCCCTTACTAATGACTTTTCAGGGACTTTTCTAGCCCCAGAGTAATATCTTTCTAAGAAAAATGTTTAGGGGCACCTGGGTGGCTTCGATGGTGAAGCATCTGCATTTGGCTCAGGTCCTGATCTCAGGGTCCTGGCATCAAGCCCCATGGCGTTGGGCTCCCTGCTCAGCAGGGAGCCTGCTTCTTCCTCTTCTTCTGCCCCTCTGCCTGTTCATGCTCTCTCTTTCTCTCTCTCTCTCTCTCTCTCAAATAAATGAATAAGATATTAAAAAAAAACAAGGTTTAAGGAATGATGTTTGGAACATAGAACTTTAGGGAGTGGAAACTATGTAAAGACAGACATAGCAGGTAAATTTGCTCTTCTCCCTTGCCTTGTGCTGAACGGAACTGTCCATTCAGATCATCTTGTATAGTTTTGTATTACCCCAGAGAGCTCATCTCTCTGGTTTGGAGCCTTATAAAACGTGGCTCTCATGCAGATCTGCATTCCCTGAGATCCCAATATCCAGCTGGGGTGTGTTGGGGACCAGAGGATACAATGAACAGAAAAGAGAGGAAAAAGACCTTTTGGGGGGATTGGCAGGCCAATGGTGGCCCTTACATGGACCGCTTTGTACCATCTTAGATGAGGAGGCCCAACAAGGAGGGCCAACTCTTCAGTAACATAGTCTCTGGCATGAAGAAATAATAAACAGAAGAAAATAAAACATAATAACATTTAGGAAGTGACTAGAACTAACCATGGGAGAACACTGGGAAGGAGTGCCATGTTTCGAGTCCCTACTCATCCCAGGTCCCGAGCTAAGAAGCCTTTACGTTTATTCCCATGTGCCCCTGACCTTTAATTCTGTTTCTCCTTGGCAGGAGGGGAATGTGTACTGTGGTCTCAAGACTTGCCCCAAGTTAACCTGTGCATTCCCAGTCTCCGTTCCTGATTCCTGTTGCCGGCTGTGCAGAGGTATGTGTCCCAGATCCCAAGACAGAGGGATGTTGCCATACTGCATAGCAGGACTTAGAGGAGAAGGAAATGCCTGCCCAGTGTCATAAGCAAGGGAATTTTTCCATGGTCGCCTTAGATTTTAGCCAGAGTTGGGGGGAAGCTATGTCCATTCCCCAAAGGGAGGAAAGAAACACTGATTTTAAGGGCCACTACCTGAAAGAAATTGCCCTGGTGTGTGGCAGGAGAGAAAGAGTGAGCATCATTTATGGAGAAAGTGAGTGTCTGTGTCGCTTCTGCCTTAATCCCTTCTAGCCAGGCCTCCATGTTACGGTCGTGTGAAACACAAGCCATTTCCATGCACAACCTTAACAGGAAGAACGGGCTTTGCAAAGCCCTGCCGTTTTGAAGACTGCGCAGGGCAAATTAGGTAAAGTCTTTAAAACCTCAAATTTAGATAGATTCTTTAAAGCCCCACAGTCAAACAGTGACAAACTCAGGAAAAGCAAAGTGGAAGGCAGAAGGCATCATCTTCTCAAATTATAGCCAAAATGTCACCGATGTTTTCTCAAGTTAGTGTTTTCTTATTTGGTTTCCATTATCTTTAATAATGGTGCCATTTGTTTTCTCTCTAAGATCAAGAATAATCACCTTTCATTTCTCTTTTATTTCCTCTTCTCAAATTACTAAATCTATCAGTTGTCTTCTATATCCCTCTCCTTTCTGGCTTGCCCTCTAGCAGTATTCTAATTTCGTCTTCTTTCCTTCCATCCAATTAACATATTTATTGAGCATCTACTCTAAGTTCAGCTCTGTGCCAGAAGCTAGATACATACTGGCAAGTAGAGTAAACATACAAGGCACTGTCAGACTATATTGCATCTTTATGCAAGTTACAAAGAGAATCCTTTTACTTAAGAGACTTTACCACCATTTGCCAGAAAATCCTTGTGAATGCACCCCCTTCGGTGCAGCAAATTTGTGCAGTACCCTCTACAACCGTACATGGCATGCATAGCAGCAAAGATTGTTTCTTTGCTCTTATGGAACTCAAATTCTACCAGAGAAGGCCAATGATAAACAAACAAAAATTGGAACAATGTCAGTACTATGAAGAAAATAAAGGACTAAGATAGGAAATAAGATAGGAAATAAGGACAGCATTTAGATCAGGTGGTTGGGAAGACCTCTCTGAGTGACATTTATGCTCAGACTTGGAAGATGAAAAAGAGCCATCCATGCAAAACTCCTGAAGGGAGAGCATTCCGAGCAGAAGAAAAGAAAATTCAGGGGTCTTACACAAGGAAGAGCTCAGAGCATTCAAGGCATCTGAGGATCTGTATCTGGCCTGTAGTGCTTGTAGTCAACCCTGGCTGGACATGAGGCTGGAGAAAGGAACTGGGCTCAGACCATATAGGACCTTCAAAGCTGTGGACTGGAGTTTGTATTCAGTTTCTAAGTACCTTGGGAAGCCGCTGGAAAGTTGTGAGCAGGGCATAACATGAACCAGTGGATGTCTTAAAAGACCTCATTGGCTATTGCATCTAAACTTGATTAGAGGGAGGCAGCAAAGCAAGGGGAGAGGCCAGGAAGAAGGGGAGCTCAGTAGCCTGTCTTAATGTGAGAGGGCAGGTGCCTGTTTTGGGGACACAGTAGAGAATAGTGGTTCAGACAGGAGCCTCTGGAACCAGGCTGCCTTGGCTTTAAGCCCAGTCCTGCTACTTTCTAGCTGGATAATCATGAGCAGTGCATTCAGCCTTTCTAACAATCTTTACAGGGAGAATGTTGTTAGCACCTACTTCCAAGTGCTTATGAGGTTTCAATGAGATCATGCAGGAAAATGACCTAGCACCATGTCTTGTATAGGGTGAGGACTCCAGAATGAGAAACAGACCAATCTGAAGTATATTTAGGGCATTGCTTTTTGACCATGGGTGCTTATTGGAATTACCTTGATAGATTTATGTTCAGGCTGGGGGTGGAGGGTGAGGGAGGTGATTTCAATGTGCAGCCAAAGTTGAGAAGCACTGAGTTGGGGGGGGATGATAGGATTTACTGAGAGGGGATTGGTAGATGACTCCTGTACACTACTGCTAGCTTCATCTTGCAGAAAGATAGCCTTAACCATACTACATCTCTACTCAGAAGTCTTGGTGCTGGGGCACCTGGCTGACTCAGTTGCTAGAGCATGTGACTCTTGATCTCGGGGTCATGAGTTCAATCCCCATGTTGGGATAGAGCTTACTTTAAAAAAAAAAAAAGTATTTGTGCTGATACATACTGTACTTACTAAGGCCAGTCAGTTTTTTCTTGAGAGGAAGAGAGTGTGTGAGCATGCAAGTGGGATAGGTGTGGGGAGGGGCAGAGGGGGAGAGAGAGGGAATCCTAAGCAGACTCCGCACTCAGTGTGGAGCCCAATGTGGAGCTTGATCTCATGACCCTGAGATCATGACCTGAGCTGAAATCAAGATTCGGGCACTCAACCGACTGAGCCACCTGGGCACCCTGCCAGTCACAGTTCTAAATACTTTATCGACATTAACTCATTTACTTCCATAATGATCCTGTGTGATGAGTATGATGAGTATTCCCATTTTATGGATGATGAAACTGAGGCAGAGAGAAGTTAATAGCCTTGTTCAAGTTTATGTAGCTAGTGAGTCCAGATGCCAGGCTCTTCCCCACTTTACTCTGCTGCTGAAAAGAATGGCTCCCTGTTGCCAGGGGTACACACCAACCCCTGCCTCAAGACAGTGAAGGCCTTCTATCCAGTAGCTTCAACTTAGCTTTCTAGGCCCACATTCTTTGATTCACACACCTTAGGTTCCACTCCCAGTGTCCCTGTGCTCTCTTGTCTTTGTGTCTTCACTCTACCCCCTCAAGATTTCTCCAACTGTAGTGTGCTTGAAAATCACCTGGAGAACTTTCAGATCCTCAGACAACAGTTGTGTGATTCAACAGCTTTGGGGTAGGGTCCTGGGATGTGCATGTCAGCAGGCCCCACTGTCCACTCAGAGGCTGGTGGTCCATAGATTCCTCTTTGAGAATCCATTCCTGAGACCAAATGGATGACTGGAGGCAGCCCCGAATAGTGGTTTCTGTTTGATTTTAGTGCACTTAAATTTAGCATATTAAAAGTCTGAATCCTGGAAGCAATAGAAAAGTAACAAATGTCACTCTCTGAATGGTCAGAGTATCTACTTCCAACCATTGGGCAACCAACTTTGAGACGAAATGTGTGACAGCCATTTCATGGGAAGGAACTGGGAGGTCAAGAGAACAAAATGGTTGCCTATTTAAGAACTGCACATGTACAGCTAGACCTTAGAGGAGAGAACATTGCCTCTTTCTGGAAAAACCTTTCCCTTCCATCTCTGCCTTTGGGAATCCTACAGGTTTCTCAAGACATAGCTCAAACCCTGCCTCCACAGATTCTGACAGAGGCAGTCCTCTGGGTGCATTATGATAAATACTAGATGGAATTTTTTCTCTCTTCTCTGCCTTCCCTCTGCCATCCCTCATTTCTCCAGCCCGAATTCCTGTTTATCCTGCTTATCCGAAGACCAGCCCATCTGCCACCTCCTCCAAAAGCGTTTTGTTTTTTTAATCCTGTAAGTTAGGAGTAAACCTTCTTCCTTTCCGAGACTCCTCAGCCTTTACTGGGTGCTGCTCCTGTAGCATTAATCACTTTGTTACCTTTTTTTTTTTTAATTTATTATGTGTACCCATGTCTTACTCTCCACAGCAATTCTGAGCTCCTTAAGGCAGGAACTATTCCTGGTTCATCTTTTCTTCCCCCTCCCTGCTCTAGGTACAGAGTAAGCACTCTTTGAATGAATGCATGCTAGCTTGGAAACACTGCCAAAGTTATAGTTTGAATTAGATACCACTAACATAAGATATTATTCCTGTGTTCTGCCTCTGAATTACCAATAGACTGTGGTAGAGGTGGTACTTGCTGTCCATTGGTTCATGGTCAGTAGGAAATTACACGGTGTCATTTCTGATCCCCAACTGGTTTTTCCTCCCCCATTGCCCTTCAGGACACTGTAAGTAATATTTCTTCTAGGAAGAAATGAACTTGGGGCACCTGAGTGGCTCAGTCGGTTAAGCTTCTGCCTTCGGCTTAGGTCATGATCCCAGGGTCCTGGGATCGAGCCCCACATTGGACTCCCTGCTCAGCTGGAAGCCTTCTTCTCCCTCTCCCTCTGCCTGCTGCTCCCTTTGCTTGTGTGTGCCTGCGCTCACTCTCTCTCACTCTCTCTCTGCCAAATAAATAAATAGAATCTTAAAAAAAAAAAAGGAAGAAATGACCTTGTTCCGAGTACCAGTGTATGCTCATCCCTTTTCCTATGCTCTTTCCAGAGGTCCTCACAAGCCAATGTGGATTTAGCCACAGCCTGATTTGGTTTGTGCTCCAAGAAGATCCTGGATCTTTCTCTCCCGCTTTCTCAGTGTGTGCGTCTGTACACCAGTACAGCTATGACATTTAAGCCAGAAAAGATGGGTATTTTATTCCTCATCTCCCTACCCATCTTTGCCCCAATGTCATTTGAGTCTTCTCCGAAGGGAAGAGAGTCTGTACGGAGCCTAGGTGTTCGTAGTTGCTTGCATAACAATCTAGTTGCTATAATCCAGTTGTCGGGCTGAGGTTACTTTGTTTGGGGAAAAGGATACGGTAAGAAATCTAAACTGAAGAACAATTTGTAAGAGAAAGGAAACTGCCAAAAGATATGTTATTACCTCTGGGAGACATGTGTGGGGCAGCAGACATAGACCCTGAAGCCACAAGGACTCAGATTTGATGTTATGGAGCTCCAGCCTACTGGTGATGTTACCTTGGGAGATCTGCTTGTCCCCATCGAACTTCATTTTTTTGCTTCTTTGCAGCCCTGAAAATGGAGATTATAATAAGTGTCACCCATGGAAAGGTTGTAAAAATTAACCGAGATGATGTGGAGACCTAGGGGAAAGTCTTATACAGACTTACTGCTTTATTTGAGAAAATGATTATATTTCAT